AGATAGATAGATAGATAGATAGATAGATAGATAGATAGATAGATAGAGTAGGAGAGCACATCTCTGTAAACAGACTCCCAGTTCCTAACGAGGCCAGATTCATTCATAAAAAGGCCGGAAGTCAAACAGAATTCCTCATCAGATGCTGCAAAGTGCATCTGCTCTGAAACGTGCGCATCAGGCGTGCACGTGCCTCTCAGGGGCGAGCCGGAGTCTGTGACTCAGCCTCTTCCCACAGCTTCTGCTTTCCGTCTGGTCTGTAAACGCACCACACCGCTCTTATGTAACTTCATCCGGAACATTAAAAAAAAAAAGAAGATCGGAGGTAAAACGGGAAAACTTTGCTCCGTCCTGAGCTCAGTTTGGTCCACGTGTGGCGCTTTTGACTGGAGTTTATTACAAACTTATTAAAATAAAACTTCACTTCAATCCGTTTAAATGTGTCTAAATGAAGAGAACACGAGGAAATGGAGGAGGAGTGGAAACCAGTCCAGGTTAGCTGCTTTAGAATTGACCTTTGACCCTTATCCTCTGCACATATTTCAGACATTGCAAAGGTGTTCAAAACACCTGCTGTTCACACTCTGCTCAGAAGGAGAAACATCCATCCTGACATCTTTTTTTTGGGAAAAAACACACTTTTTCTCCTGCTTTCTTTCCTTCCTCCTCAAAACCCGCCAAAGAGAAGCCGGAGGATCAGGAGATGCTTCAGGCATGAAAGGTGTGTGGATGCCTTCACAAGTTTAAATAAGACCCAATAACAGGGGCTGTGCTGCCTTCAGGGTCCCGCTCGCTCACAGAAGAGCCCCAGATTTGAGTTTTTTTTTTGGACTTCACAGGCTGGAGGAGCAAAACAGGGATTCTGTGTCAGCCATGTTTATCTGTGTGTGGAGTCCTTGTTGTGATAAGGCCTCCGCCCAACTCTCAAAGTAGGACTTAACTCCCTTCACATTCAGTTCTCAGTCCCAGCCTGTGCAGCCTTTAAACTTTCAGGCCTTTCTCATAAGCTAATTCACATCTGAAACACAGCAAGAGTGCCTTTTCTCCTCGTTCTCAGAGGAACATTTCTAAATATCTGCACCCAAGTGAATACAGATGCATATCTTTGTGAATTAGGAAACACAGGTTACATAAAGCAGCTTCTCTCTGGTCCGTGAAGAAGACATAACATGAGTGGAAAACACCCCAAAAGCTCTAATGAACCGATTTTTTACCTCGACCAGTTCTTAACAAGGATGATTTCTGCTGAAAGTGATCGGTCTCAAGCAGGAATTCAGGAGCAGGATTTGGATTTAAAAGCAAATTGAGAAAAATCACCTGTCAAAGTGCAAAAAGTGAGAGTCAAACTACACATTTTTGGGTGGTCTTTTGTTCCTTTTTCACTATAAGATGATTTTCCTTCAGTCATTTTGTTGTTGAACTTGTTTAGAAGCCTTATTACAGTGTAATAATACGTGTAAACGCTTCCCCTTTAAATGGGTTTTAGCCGGTTTGTTGTTTTCCCTCCACAGATGCTCGACTTTAATCTGAGCTGTGACTCTCTGGGATGTCATTATGAGTTTCTGAGGCCTGCTGGACCAAAAAAAAAACGGTAACAGACGCATTTCTTCCTCCAAAAAGTGCCCCGGAGACCCTCCGAACCTCCAAACAATTCACAGCCCTTCCTCAGAACCGGTCCGTGTGATGAGGAGGTTGCCTGGCAACAGGCTCCGCGGAGCTGGAGACGGGGATGGAGCTCAGGCCGGGATCGATCCGACTCCAGGAAGTCACAGCTGGGTCACGGCGCTCTGAAGCCCGGAGGTGCACC